CCATCGAGGCTCTCCTCGACCTTGGGGGACGAGTGGGAAGGAGAAGGTGTGAGAGAGGCCGGAGAGCCGCTGTGGAGGGCAGGGATGTGGACGGAGGGCGCCCTGGCCGCGGGCCCGAGAGCTCGTGTGGGGCTGCCCTCGCTCACCAGAGCCCCGGCGCTGGCCGGGCCGCAGGCGCTGCTGCCGCTCTCCCCCTGCTCCTGCTCCACGGCYGTCTCGCCGACAGCGTCCGCGGGCACCTTGGTGTGCCGGCACCTCCTCTGGCCGGAGCAGGAGCGGGAAGCGGGCCCTGCAAGGACGGCGCGAGGCCGGGCCATGCGTGGCGGTGCCGCCGCCGCACGCGCTGCGCCTGCTGGGCCGGCTCTGCGCCCGGGGGCACTTCCTCGCCCGCGCACGACGTGCCCAGGAGCCGCAGGCCGCCGGCCAGGCYCCTCCGCCACGTCCTCCGGCGCCGCCGGGCCGGGGTCTCGCCCGGCACCCAGTCCAGCCCCACGTGCTCGGGCAGCCCCACCAGGCAGCGGGAGAAGCTCCAGGGCAGCACCGTGAGCGGCGGCCACCTGGCACCGCCCCAGCTCCATCTCCACCCGCCAGTGTCTCGTGGGCAGCTGGAAGCAGACGCTCTTCGCGGGGCCAACGCTCATCCCTCCCTGGCAGAGCATGGCGGTGACGGGGCTCAAAGCACCCAATGCCGAGATGTCACCACCACGACACTCGAAGGTGCCAACGGGCTGCTCCAGGTCACGGGCTGCAGCCCACGGAGCAGACGCCCTCTGCACCTCCCACCTCCTCAGTCGCCCAAGGAGATGTGGGACCTGGCCAGGAGCTCCTGGCTGGTGTCAGTGCCCAGGCCACTGTGTCCCACAAGCGCCATTGCTGATGCACGAGTGACGGGTACCCGTGTCAGAGGACACCCGACCTCTGCTCCCAGCCCAACCTGAGGGTGCCAGGCCTAGAGGCACAGCCCCAAGCTGCCACCACCATCATGGGGAGCACTCAGGACAATGCCCACCTCTGTCTATGGCTGCAGAGCTTCTGAGGTCCCCACCAGCCGCTTCGTCCGCCCCGCACGCTGCTGTGAGGCCACGGGCTTCGTGTCACCACGGTGCTGGGTCTTTGCCAGCTGCACGGTTAGTGCCTGGGGTGGTGACATTTGCTGCACCCACAGGGCACGATGCAGCACCCCAAGCCCGTGGGGTTTCCTGGCTCTAGCAGARCCAGCATCCAAGAGGTGCACAGAGTTTTCACTTTGTGTTCAGTTTTCACCCAGATTTATTAAAATTTGTTCCCCATCGCTGATTCCAGATGCAGACCCCTTGTCTGCCCTCAGCCGGGCAACTGCTTCTCCCTCCTAGCAGCCGCGCTGGGATCTCCCCGGCACGTCTGGAGGAGCCGAGGGAGCGTGTGGAYATCTGCATGTGAACAGGATCCCCCATCCCAGGAAAAGCCACTGGCTCGCGGCGGCGCTGGGACAGAGCCAGGGTGACAGATGTCACCGCGGGCCGCGGTGCCCAGGGTCCCTTGGGGCTGGGTGGGACAGAGCAGGGGCACACACTCGCAGCCCTCCCCGGGCACCCCGAGGGGTGCTGTGTCCAGCCAGGAAATGGGACACGGGGGAGGAGGGGGGGATCTGTCCCCAGCCGCGTCCCGGGGCCTCCGTGTCCCCGAGCCCCGCGGGAGGGACCCGCCGTGCCCCCGGGACCCCCGCGGCGGCTGAGTGACAGCGCGGCGAGCCAATGGCGGCGCAGGGCCGGGCGCGGGCAGCCAATGGCGGCGGCGGGGCGGGCGGGGGCGGGCGCGCGGGGCCGGCGGCGGCGGCGGCGGCGGCGCGGCGGGAGGATGCGGCCGGCGGCGCCGCTCGTGCTCGCCCTGCTCCGCCGCTGCCTCCTGCTGGGCCCGCTGGCGCTGCGGGCGGCCGCCGGACAGGACGGTGAGTGCGGCCGGGGCACTAACCCGGCCCCCGGCCCGGGACACCGGGAGCGGCGGAGGGTCCCTTCAGGCCCCCTGCCCCGCTCTTCGCCCGCCGCCCGCGGGATGGGCCGGGACCGCGCGGCAGCCCTGCCCGCTGCGCCCGGGATCGCCCCGGGACGGGATCGCCCCGGGACGGGATCGTCCCGGGACGGGCTCCCCGCTGCCCCCGCCGCCCCCCGCTCCCGGCAGCGTGTCCTGCCCCGGCCCCAGCGCCAGCTCCGCCGCCCAGCCGCGTCCGGTGCCCTCCGCCCCGGCAGGGGACAGCCGCGCCGGGGACACGTCCCGCCCCATGTCCCGCACTGGGGAACACGTCCCGTCCCGTGCTGGGGGACACGTCCCGTCCCGTGCCCCCGCCAGGGACACATCCCGCCCCATGTCCCGCGCTGGGGGACACGGCCCGTCCCGCGCTGGGGACACGTCCCGCTCCATGTCCCGCACTGGGGAACACGTCCCGTCCCGTGCTGGGGAACACGTCCCGTCCCGTGCTGGGGGACACGTCCCGCCCCATGTCCCGCACTGGGGAACACGTCCCGTCCCGTGCCCCCGCCAGGGACACATCCCGCCCCATGTCCCGCGCTGGGGGACACGTCCCGTCCCGTGCCACTCACGCTCCTGGACTTGGAGTGGAGCCGGCAGAGGGAAGAGAGAGGACGAGCGTCTCCGTCCCCGTCCTCCGCGGTGGCAGCGCACGGTGGGGACGCTGTGCCCGGCTGCTCCGGCACCGCCAGGCCACCGCCCCGGGGCTGCCAGGGATGTTTCCAAAGGAAAGCGGGAATTGGAAGTGAAATAGGGAAATGGGGATGGAGGGCTGGGATCGGCCGCCGGGAAGGAAGCGAAGGCGTCGCTGGCCTGGCCGCWTTCCTGCTGTCCATCCCCGGCCCTYGTGGCTGCTCCCACGCTCCCAGCCGGACTTCAGTCGCCAGCTCCAGCGTTGCCCATGGACACCCTGCGTGGAGGTCGGCTCCATCCCAGCTGGAACAATCCCACAACAGGCTCTGTCCATGGAGATTTGCACCGCCGACGGCCGTGCTAGGCTTGGGAATGCTGCAAGYCTGGAGCAACATGTGGATGTTGAGCCAAATCTCGCCTCCGAGACGTCGGAAGGTCACTTCGCCAGCCGGGGCCAGCTTTTCCCTGGGGTTCCTCATCCCAGAGCAAGAAGGCTGGGAAGGGGGAGAGGAAAAGCCTCGCTGTGCTTCCTGGCAGGGGAAACTGAGGCACKGGAAATGCACATGGGATAACACCACATTCTCCCGTGGTACTTTTGGGAGCAGCTGCTCCACTGAACAGCCTCTGTTGGGAGCTACCAGGAGACTTCTTGCAGTTTTCCCGACGGAGCCCCGCGGGGCAGAAGCATGCCGGCGCACCGGGCTTCTCCCGGAGCATCTGCCCTGTTTTGTCTTTCCTGCTTCCTGTGAGAAAACAAACAAAGCTCTGTGCAGAATCCCCCGCGCGATGTGCAGAGCGGATGCGGATGCCGCTCGGCGCGGCAGTGTGAGGAGCCGGGTGGGATGTCCCCTCCACCAGCCCCCCTTTGCACATGAAGGGGGACAGGGATCCCCATCCTTAGGGGGTGGATGAGATCCACAGCGTCCGGCTTGGGTGCTGATTAGGGATCACAGGCGTGTTTGCAGCTTGGAGCAGAGATGGCTTCATCCCGTGCTGGGCAAGGAAGGGCAGGAAAATGGTTCGGCCCCGTCCATGCCCTTGGCTTTTCGGAGGAGCCCTGGGAACAGCAGTGCTGGGGCCTGGGGGGCTGGGTTGGCTTCCTGGCTGGGTTTTCTTGCACATCCCGCTGGCTCTGGCTGCCTTGGCCAGAAAATTAACCTCCAAACACTCCCCCTCTCTCCTCCTCGGGCAGCACCCCCCTGGGGGCAGTTTCCCGGCCGCTCCAGGGTTCCCGGTGCAGATGCGGCCGGGCTGCTCTGGATCCCCTTGTCTCGGTTTCCCCTCGCCAATGTGCAAACCAGCCCTCGGCCCCGCGGGGCAGCGGGCCGGGGTTTTCCGCCTCCAGCCTCCCTTCTTCTCCTGGGCRGCTTTTCCATGCTGGGATTTTTTGTGCCCCGTCTCCCAGAGACAGCAGCGGAGCCAAGGCAGGGCGGGCGGCGCGGAGCAACGGCCTTCCATGACTTCTCTTTCTGGCCACAGGAGAGCTGGGGAGGAAGCGGTGGGGGAGAAACCGCTCGGATCCTGAATCGCTGCCCGCACAAAGGCCTCTTTGGGGGCTGCTCTTTGGTTAACTGGACCTGGCAGGAAATCTCTGCCGCTCCCCAGAGCCTGGCACTTTGCAATGGCTTTATCCAGAGTCCTATCGGGAGCGGGATGTGGAGCGGGGCTCACGAGTGCTGGGTTGCCCAAGGGGTCAGATCGAGGGGAACATCCTCAGCCACCCATGCTGATGCTTTTCCATTAGGAAAACCACGCTGGAGAAACTGAGGCACAGCTCTCGGGCGGGCAGAGCCGCCGCCAGGATCTTCCTGCRTCCCGGCTGCCTCTCATCCCTGCTCCTTTCCCGACAGGCGACGGCTGCGGCCACACGGTGCTGACCCCGCAGAGCGGCACCCTGAGCTCCAAGAACTACCCGGGCACRTACCCGAACCACACGCTGTGCCGCTGGCGGGTGCGGGCGCCGCCGGGCGCCTCCCTGCTCCTGGCCTTTGGAGACGTGGACCTGGAGGCGGCCGAGGGCTGCGCCGCCGGCTCCCTGCTGCTCTCCGAGCCTGACCGCGGCATCGYCCATGGTAAGGGGAAAACCGAGGCACAACAGCGGGAAAATCCTGCTTTTTAGCCACTATGGAGCTGAGGCGGGAGGGACTTTGTGCACCAGAGGGGTCCCAGATGGGAGCAGATGCAGCTGCTGATTAAGCAACTCGCTGCCCCAGGATTTCCCTGCAGCGGCTGAGCTCCAGAGGGATTTGGCAGCCCTGGGAGTGTGGGGGGAGCAGGCCSGAAGGAGCCGGGCGCTGGGGGACGTGGAGCAGTGCTAAGGGACGCGGAGCACGTTCCCGRCAGAGAGGGCGGCTTTGTGCTGCACCGGGGCTCCGGACGTGCCGGGAACGCCGCCAGCGTCTCCCTCGGCTCTGGCGCGGACGGGGCTGCCACCCCCGAGCACCGCGGTGCCCTGGCCTGCAGTGGTGACGTGCTGAGGGGTCCTGCTCCCTCGCCAGCCCTTGAGGGATCCCAGCTGCTTTTCGGGAAGCGCCGGGGGGGATTTGCTGCCTCTGACTCAGCCGCCGGYGCCCAAGCGGCTCCGGGGGGGTCGGGAATGTGCGCGGGGGCTGCTCGTTTTGGGGGCGCAGGGGCAACCCCCTCTCCGGGATGTCCACTTTCCCATTCCTCATGTCCCCCCTCGTGCCGGGGTGACGCTGTGGGCTGCGCATTCCCGAGGCCTCTGTCACGCGGCCACGTCTGGCCCCGGCCCCGCTCGCCCCCGCAGCCCGCCTGGATGCAGCCCCCGCCATGCCGGCTCGGCCGCGGCCATCCGGAGAGCCTGGAGGCCGAATCCCAGGCGGGCCTGGGGCTGGGACATGAGGCTGGGGACACGGGCATGTGAGGAGCCACGGGTGTGGGGGTGTTCTGGGGGAACAGGAACACCTGGGGACACTGGGACCAGTCTAGGGACATGGGGACACTGGGACCAGGCTGGGGACACAGGGACAAACTGCAACAAGTCTGGGGACACAGCGGTATGGAGAATAAGCTGGGAACATGGGAACCGGTCTGGGGACCAGGGGACATGAGGAGACCTGTGAGCAGTTTGGGGACACAGGCATTAGGGACCACACTGTGGACAGTGGGGACAGCCTGGGGCCAGGCTGGGGACACAGGGACAAACTGGGACAAGGCTGGGGACCTGGGGACACTGTTCACACCCCAGAAGTCAGAGCAGGATTTGGGGTGTGCTGAGATGGGGGGAGAGGGATCGGGGCCCCGTGGCGTTTGCTTAAAGCCCAGAGGCCTCAGTGGTGGATGTGCTGCAGAGGTCCCCCTCTGCAGGGTCCCCCTCTGCTCCCCAGTGGGGACAGGGCTGTCCTGAAGCCCCCCTGCCAGCTTGCTAAGCTCATGTCTTAATCAGGGAGATGGAGATCACAAATTAATTTGGATTAAATGCATCGCTGTGCTGGGGGATTTAGAAAGCGGCTTTGGTGGCTCCCAGAAAAGGGAGGGCTGGATGGGGGCAGGAGGGCCGGGCTGGTCACCGCATCCCCGTCCCTGTTGGGCCGTCACCATGTCCCGTGTCCCCATCCCTGTCCCCGCAGGGCCGTACTGCCGCGGCGCCGCGCCTGCCGCCCCGCTCCTCGTCACCAACGCGAGCGCCTTGACCGTCCTCTTCAACAGCAGCAGCCACCGCTCGGGCCGGGGCGTCCTGCTGTCCTACGCCACCTCCGAGCACCCAGGTGGGGATCCCCCGGCAGGAAGCCACGTATGGGGCAGCTGGGACACCTTGGGATACTCCAGGGCCACCGGGACCCCTGTGGGAAGCCCCAGCCAGACCCATGCTGGTGCACATGGGTGGGTGGGGTGTCCCGGGCGGTCCCTCAGCGCCCCCGGGATGTTCCTGCCTTGCAGACTTGATCTCCTGCTTGGTGAAGGGCACCCACTACACACAGGACCATGTCAGGTGAGTGCTGGGGACACGGTGCTGGGGACAGGACCCATCTGACCCCTCCTGTGTCCCCTGTTCCCCCCTAACGGTGTCCCTTGCAGCGTGTACTGCCCCGCCGGCTGCAAGGACATCGCTGGGGACATCTGGGGCAACGTGCACCAGGGCTACCGAGACGTGAGTGACATGGCGGGCGGGGGCGGCACCCATAGGTGCCGCCCRCACCCCTCACGGCCGCCCGCAGACCTCGGTGCTGTGCAAGGCGGCCGTGCACGCCGGTGTCATCGCCGACGAGCTGGGCGGCCAGGTGGCCCTGTCGCGGCACAAGGGCGTCACGCTCTACGAGGCGGCCGTCGCCAACGGGCTCCGCTCCAAGAGGTACACGGGGGCACTCGGGCTGTGGGGAGACAGCGGGCAGGGACGCCGGGTGACTCTCTGCGCCCCGCTTCCACAGGGGATCCCTCTCCGAGAAGCGCCTCCTCTTCCACAAAGGTAGCACCCTGTCCCCTCCAGAACGTGGCCACCGGTGCGGCCAGCGCTGACCCGCCATCCCTGCAGCCTGCAGTGACGTGCTGGACGTGGCCGCCTTCAACGCCTCGTCCTCGTGGCTCGAGGTGGACGCGCTGGGGCAGCACCGGGCCTGGGGGGCCGAGCGGGCCGCGCTGGGAGCCCCCGGCCGCTCCTGGGCYGCCGAGCCGGGCGCTGCGGCCGCCTGGCTGCAGCTGGACCTGGGCGCCCGCCGCAACGTCACAGGTACCGCTGGGACAAACGGGGCCCCCCGTCCCCGCTCCGTCGCTCCCGCTGCCCCTCGCAGGTTTTGCTCCCGGCTCCAGGAGGGAAGAGCGAGCGCCGGTGCCAGCGAGCACCTTTGTCGGGCCGCAGCCCGCCGGAAAGGGCCACTTGGCCCTGCTTTGTCCCTGTGGCACCAGCTAATTGTGGCGAGGAAAATGAGCACATTGTGTGGCTGGAGCAGGGAGGGGGACGCGGGACCCACTGGATGCCCAATGCCCCTCCCAGGGGGTGCAGTTGGGCTTACAGTGTTGTGTCCCCCGGGCCGCTGCATCCCCCTCCCCGGCAGGGATTGTCACCACGGGCTCCTCGGAGGGCCACGACTACTACGTGACGTCCTACAGCATCTCCTCCAGCCGGGACGGCAGGAACTGGCGGGGGTACCGGGGCAGCRGCGGGCAGGAGGACAAGGTGGGTGCCAGGGGACGCCCCCGTGGCGGTGGTGGCACCGCGTGGCCCCGTCCTCCTGTGTGTTGTGTCACCTCATCGCTGGCAGCTCTTCGAGGGCAACTCGGACGGCGTGCAGGAGGTCTCCAACGCCTTCATCCCGGCYGTGGTGGCGCGCTACGTGCGCGTGACGCCGCAGCGCTGGCACCAGCGCGCCGCCCTCAAGGTGGCCCTGCTGGGCTGCGAGGTGACGCGAGCGCGGGCGCCRCGGCCCTACGGTGAGACCCGCGGCGCGGGGACCCCGCGGGGCACCCGCCACCCGCTCATGGCGCCCGCTCTGCCCCACAGCGCCCAGTGCCCCTGGTGTCCCCGTCCCTGCTGACATCCCCGCCACCCTCGCGTCCATCCCCGGCGTCGCCCTGGACCCGGAGAAGGCAGGTGGGTACATGCGGGGCCCGCTGGGGACAGGGCCGCTCGCGGAGCCGGTGCCGACGCCGCTGACGCCCCGCGCAGGCTCCACGCTGCTGGTCATGCTGCTCATCGGCGGCTCCGTGCTGCTCTCCTCGGGCCTCCTGCTGCTGGCTTTCCTGTGCCGCTGGAGAAGGTGGGTGACGCCGTGACCTCCGCGGGCACCGGGGACATCCTGGGGCCGCGCGGAGCCACCGAGCGGGGACGCTCTGGGCCYGCGGCTCCTCGACCGCCGCGTCGCTCTCTCCATGGCAGGAAGGTGCCAGCCGAGCCRAGCTGCGGCTTGGTGAAAGGTAAAGGCCACGAGCTCGGTGCCACCCGGCCCCTAGAGGGGACCCAGCGTGGTGGCACGGGGCGGGTGACAGCGGTGTCCGCGTCACGCAGGGTTCCCCCAGGCGGAGCAGAGCCCGACGTGTTCCCTGCGCAACCTGCCGCCCGCCTTCCCCAGCACYGCGGGGGCCCCTGATCCGGATCCCTCCCCAGGTAAGGGGGGGTCTGCGCACGGGCAGCGGCGCYGCCAGCCCCACGCAGAGCCCAATGCCCACATCGCAGAGTACGCCGAGCCCGACGTGCTGCCGCCCGGCCCCGGCGGCGCCCGCGCGGCCCCACAGACCTTCAAGGCGCCGGTGGACGAGGGCTACGCGCTGCCGCTGCCCGCGGGCCACTACGCCGTGCCGGCCCGGCCGCACGAGTACGCGGAGCCGCTGCCGCCYGAGCCCGAGTACGCGACGCCCTTTGGCGACACGGAGCACGATGGGCGCCGGCCTGAGGGCGCTGTGACGCCACCCGGGTATGAAGCGCCCGGCGTGCGGCCTGTACAGGACCCGGCGCCTCGCGGCCGCTACACAGCCGCCCAGCCCGGGTCGAGCGGCAGCCCCGGGGGGCCCGTGCCCGCCCTGCTCGGGGACTGGCCCCTCACACACGTCTACCATGAGGTGTCGTGAGGCYGCCCCGTTGCAGGGATGTGTCTGCGGCCGCAGCCCTCAGCACGGACCTTCCCCACGAGGTCTCGAAGGGAGATTTTTACAAAGCAATCCTATTTAAAAAAATAAATATATGTATATATAAATATATACATATAACCCTTTCCTTCACGGTTTTTATCACTGAGCATGCGGTGGCGCCACGAACATCCTGGCAGCGGCCGAGCCCCTGGGCATGTGTAGGCACCCACATCAGTGGGGCATGTGTGACACCCATACATCCACATCAGTAGGTATTCCTGGCACC